TGTGTGTGTGTGTGTGTGTGTGTGTCGAGGTGGGGTGAATCGGACATTCTTTTGGGGGGGGAGGGAAGCAAGATTTATCGAGAGGACAGAAAAGCTCCCACAGTGGGAGGGGACCCGAAGGGGTTGCACGGCATCAGACATCCTTAAGTGTGTTTGTATCTTTCAGGCTTTTGGGAGCTTGGCAGACTCAGATTAGAGACGTCCACCCACGAGCTTCATTGTTGTCCTTCTTGGAACTCATTCCCATGAGGTAAAACTCAACCACCGGCTTGACCTCAGTGAGAAACAGATGTGCAGTGACCAGAGCAAAGCAAGACTGACAGACATTTGGTTTGCAAAATTAACAGTCCACAAAGTTTCTCAGTTAAATTTAGACAGATGCTTTGCTGTTTTTTCAACATTCTTCACACCATATGTTGTTGTTATAACTTAAAAATAAAAAAGTACTTTAAATATTAGCTTTGGAGGGCTTATTGTTGTTTTAAAGGGCATAGCTTAAATTTATCTTTCTCCATGAGCCTTTTCCCCCCCATTCTGATACCCTGGAGATAGTGGGAGAGGTGCAAGGGTTAAAAGTATTTATAATCTGGCACACTGGATACTTTCTAGGGGCTTGATTCAGACTTCCTACTAGAGAGTTTGATTATTCTTATGAGTAAATAATTACCGTAGAAGATGTGTTCTTAAAAGTAAATTTTTTTTTTTTTTTTTTGCCAAAGCTTTAGGTTGGGGAAATTTGTTAAGGAAAGCTCCCAAAAGTTAATAGGACTATGCCACTCATTTTTATTATACTGTTTCTTGTAGTCTTACTCAAAGAATTGTTATAAATTGCAAATACATTTAAAATGTAATGAGCTTCTAGTCCATTCATTTGGTATTTTCACTTTTCAATCCTATCCCAAGGCACACCTGAATCCCAGCACTGAAGATAAACACTTTCCTTTAATTTAAAACTTAACACTCCATGATGTCTTTGCATCCCTTGTAGCTGATTGTGCCCACACAGTCTCACAAATACTCTAGGGGGAAGCTACACTAAGCTCATGGGGTCAGGACCACATAGAGCTCCTTCCCTCAGGGAAGCGCTCAGCACAAACATGGGATGCTTCACCTATCATCATATCTCAGTATATTCATGATACTAAAGAGGAAAATGTTTAATGTTTTGCTTTATCTATCAGAGCAGAACCTCTTCGAAAGAAGAAGAAGGTAGATCCTAAAAAAGACCAAGCAGCAAAGGACCGCTTGAAAAAGAGGATCCGAAAACTGGAAAAGGCTAGCCAAGAGCTAATTCCCATTGAAGATTTTATTACCCCTGTGAAGTTCCTGGATAAAACAAGGTAAGGGTTCTTTAGGGTTGAAGTCCTGGGGACAATGGAATTCTATCAACTTCAGGTGGTTCTGTCTCGTTCACACCTGTGATGGGAATGGGTCAGTAGGTGTGGGTTGGTTTGGCCCTGATCCAAACCCCTTTCTCCTTGATTGTACCTTTTGGGAGTTGGAGAAAGCATTCTTGGCTTGTACTCTTGATTGGCTAAGAGTGGGAAAGAAACTTTTAGACAACTGATTAATCCAGGCCAGATGCTTATGAGCTCAAATCGACACTGCTCCAGAGTTCATTTTATTGCTCTCTTGTATAAGGAATCCTGGCTGTTTCTGATGACTTGGGCCCCATCCTGACAGTAGAAAACTCTTGGCCTCTTGCTTTGTCATGCAGATACCTCGTAGTTGGTATTTGCTGGGATTGTTCTCTTTTTGGGGTTAGCAGCTCCTGCTGCCATCTTGCAGTATGCACCATTTGTAAAGCAGCACCTTGCTTTGCAACTGGAAAATGGCAGGGGTTTTGAGACTCCAGAGCTGATTACAAGCCCTTGACTTCCTGGGATAATTTTAATAACACCATTTCACTTTTTTCCAAAGTCACCTCTCATAAAAGGTAGTCTTTGCCAGAAGCAGAGAAGTCCTACCATAGTCTCCTCAGACCATCTGTTTCTTCTCCTGATAGAAAGCCAGTCATCTTCCTTCCCAACATGTTTCAGGTGCTGCCCCATTCAATATTCCGTTCCTTCGTTTGTCTTAGATGTGTACCTTTCTCTCCTGTCTGCCTGGCAGTGGGGATGCTTGGGCCATTTGTAGTCACAGACTCCTATGACAGTGAGGTCTGTACCCCTCCCACCAGCTTCATACTTTTGGGATTTATATGTTTGCAGGCAGCGGCCTCAGGTGGAGCTCTCCTTTGAAGAGAGAGAGCGGAGAGCTCTGCTTCTGAAGAGATGGTCCCTGTACAAGCAGCGAGAGCATGAGATAGAAAGGGATGCCATCGGGGTCATGCTGGACGCCCAGCAAGAAGCTCTCGAGGAGCTGCGACTTGAGTCCCCAGAACTCCACACTGAGGCCATCAAGCGGGACCCCAGCCTGTTCCCCTTTGAGAGGGAAGGGCCAGACTACACACCACCAATCTCTAATTACCAGCCCCCTGAAGGCAGGTACAATGACATCACCAAGATATACACACAGGTACAGTTCAAGAGATAAGAGTTGCAGGCAGCTGTCCTTGGAACATGCTGCCCTGAGAGTTGGAATGAACAGGGTTCAGGTCTGCTTTCCACAGAAAATAATAAACATGGGTTTAATCAAGTGTCTCTTTGTCTTATGTGAGAAGTAAATTAATTCACCTAAGATGAATGGGGATGCTGCCCCTTTGCCAGGTACTGGGAAGAAGATGACATCAACCACTGCCTTCAAGTAGGAAAAAAATATGTGTAAAAGGAAAATTTCAAGTGTGTGGTGGAAATACCACCAGCAGGAGGCACAAGGTAACCCACAGGAGTGGAGGTGAAGAATGTACAGGATTTTGCCAGCTGGTGTGCAGAGTAAAGGCCTTTATAGTAGGGCAGACGGAGGAACCATCTTTGGGTTTGAAATGGGGAGGGAGGCTAAAGAGAGTGGAGCAAGCTGAAGACACACTAATTAGCAAAGTGCTGTGTCCCCCAGTTGGGTGTGAGGCCTGGTTGGGGCAGTGGACTCTCTTAACCGTTTCTGTCAAGTTCAGTGGTACATATGAAGTACATTCATCGTGTACAACATCACCACCATCCATATCTCTCCTAAACCACTGCAAAACTGAAACTCTATGGCCAATAAATAACTCTCCTACTCTCCTCCCCAACAGCCCCCAGCAACCATTATTTTTAATTATTACTAATTTTTTTTTTAGAGATTCTTGCTCTGTCACCCAGGCTGGAGTGCAGTGATGCGATCATAGCTCATTGCAGACTTGAAATGGGGTCAATTGATTCTCCCATCTCAGCCTCCCAAGTAGCTGGGGCTGGGCATGTGCTACTACACCTGGCTAACTTTTAAATTTAATTTTTTCTTTTATTTATTTATTTATTCTTATAGAGACAGGATCTTGCTCTGTTGCCAAGGCTGGAATACAATGGCATGATCGTAGTTCACTGCAACCTTCAACTCTTGGGCCCACGTGATACTCTTGCCTCAGCCTCCAGAGTAGCTAGGACTGCACGCATGCATCACCAGGTCTGGCCATTTTATTTGTCTCTCTGATTTTGTCTACTCTTAGAAACCTCCTGTAAGTGGAATCATACATTATTTGTCTTTGTGTGACTGGTTTGTTTCATGAAGCATAATTGCCTTGTGGTTCATGAATGCAGCATGTGTCAGAACATCCTTCTTATTGCTGAATAAAATTTTCGATCTATGGATACACCACGTTTTATCCATTCATCCCCTGATGGACACTTGTGTTGCTTCTGTTTTCACTATTGTGAATAATGTTGCTGTCAACATGGGTGTACAAGTATCTCTTCGAGGCCGTATTTTCTTGTGGATATACATACCCAGGAGTGGAATTGCTGGATCATAGAGCTCTACTTTTAATTTTTTGAGGAAGCACCATCTGCTTTCCACATTGGCTGTACATTCCCACCAACTGTGCACAAAGGTTCATTTCTCTACATCCTCACCAAATTTTTTTTGTAGTAGCCATCCTAATGGGTGTGAGGTATCTCCTCATTGTGGTTGTGACATTTCCCCAACAATCAGTAATGTTGAGCATCTTTTCATGTGCTTTGCCAAATTAAAGAAAAATCTATTGTGTCGGTGTTTTGCTCTGTGGCCCAGCTTACACACTATGGTAGTGTCAGGACCCAAAATTTTCAATTTCTCCAGTTATATCAGTACTTGGTATATCTAGCTTTATACAATTTAAACTATACGTTTAGCCCTGGCTAACCACCATCAGGTTGTGTAAATTGTTTTGACACTACAGGGCTTTCTTGTGTGATCTCCCTTCTCCCATCCCTGACCCTGGCAACCATTCATGTTTTTCATTTTTATATCACATTGTTTCACTAGTGTTACATAATGGAATCATGCCACAAGTACCCTTTAAGATTTTTTTTTTTGAGGCAGGGTTTCACTGTTTCCCAGGCTGCAGTATAGTGGCATGATTATAGCTTACTGATGGATGCCTCAAATTCGTGGGCCCAAGCAGTCCTCCTGCCTCAGCCTGGGATTACAGGTATGAGCCACTGTGCCTGGCTAAGATTGACTTTTTAAACTCAGCATAATTTCCTTGCTGTGTATGTAGCTGTTTATATAGCAGTGTTTCACACACAAGTTCAGTATTGTTCAGTGAAGCTTGCTTCAATGATAATATGCTGTGTATAACACTATGTACCAGACTAATGTAAAACACGTGTTTCTATGGGGTTTTGTTTGAAAGACACTGCCCATATTACTGTTCTTTTTCTTCACAGAACTTAGTACCATTTTAGGCTCGTACTTACTGATATTTAATGTCTGTGCCTTTTCCTCAAATGACAACAGAAACTATTTAAAGGCAGGTTGTCTGTTTCAAAATTGTGATCCGAGAGCTTAAAAACCCACCCAGCATGTAGTGGGCATCAGATGTTGTGAAGGAATTAACAGGAACAAATGCAGGGAACAACCTTTCCTGAGGGATTATCTGTTGATGTAGAACTTGCTGAGTAGCAATGAAGGAAGGCAAAATATGACCGTGGCACTGCAGAGGGAGGACTTGAATATTCAGATAAAAAAGAGCAAAAAGCCAAATACTTCCTAACAGAGCATGTGGTTGCATGTTGCACACGGCACTAAACAAGCGGATGACTGAGGGGGGGCGTCTCTCATCGACTGGAGTGCTGGCTGGATGCCCGGGCTGTCCTTGTATTCCCCAGCCCTGCCCCAGGAACCCCAAGGTAGCTGCTGCAATTCTAGGCATCATATGAAGACTGCAAATCCAGATGTCCCTCCCCTGCATTTTGCTTGGGTCTTTTTAGGCTTTTATACTTTCTTCATATTTATTTTTTAATTTTTTTTAATTTTTATTTTAAAAATAGGTACAATTCAGGATTAGGTAAACAAATAGTCATGGTACAGGTAAAGTTTGGGCCTCACTTTGGTCTCCATTTCACCTGGTTTTTAAAAGTAATGTTTTAATTTTTTTTTGGTAGAGAGAAAGTCTTACTATGTTGCCCAGGCTGGTCTTGAATTCATGGTCTCAAGTGATCCTCCCACCTTGGTATCCTAAAGTGTGGCATTACAGGCATGAACCACTATGCTCAGCTGTGTTCCCTGTATTTAAGAGAGAGAAAAACTCTAGGACATCTCTTGAAGTCTTCCTCTCCCCTCATTGGCCAGAAACGCTTGTTATTAGAGCAGCCACAGCCAGGCTGGAGACACCCTGTCTGGCTTAGGTACATCAAAGCTTCCCTGGAGATGGGGGAAACTTTGCTCCTCTTTAGACTCTCATCTGCCCTTAGAGTCCTGTGAACATACACCCCACCATTCACAGGCAGACACTAGACACAGGGAGGGAATCTTGGGAGCACAGGAGAAAACAAACACAAGAGGGGAAATATTCTTTAATGTATGTCCTTCTGATCAATTATTTCACCCTAAAGAACAAATTAAAAGATGTTTGACCTGCTGCCTGGGCCAGGAAGAAAGGGAGGGTACACGGTTAGCCCAGCCATCGGTAACACACAACTGGGCCTCCATGTGGCCACAGAATGCTGAACCATTTTATGAGTAATAAAACTAGTGTTCTTGGAGTTTCATAAAAATATATATTTAAAACATCTACAAGAGAATAAGCATACTGTCTGAGCACAACATTGTTAGGTGTGGAATCTAACACATGTGAATGAAATTTTCAGCTTCTATTTGGAATCAAACATAGTGAAGTAGCTTTTGCTACATTAAAGACCAGGAGAAATTTTGAGGGAAGGAGTTCTAAATTCCATGTGTCTTGGGCTTAGACTTCTTAAACCAAAAGTCCAGGAATCCTTTTTATGCAAGGTTGTGTGTTCTACAGCTGTGTGCATTTCTTAAAAGCGAGTGTTTCCAAGGGCCTACCTTGAAGCCTGAGAGGTGAAGCTTGCTGGTGCAAAGGGGCCTGCACCCACAGTGGAACCCAGCAAGCAAGTTGGAGAAGAATGAGCGCCATGCTTCAGATGCCAAGGGCTGACAATACCAAGCCCAGGACATGGTGGCCTGTTTCCCAAGGACAAGGAAAGGCATTCACAGCAGCAACACTGTTTAGCTATCTCATTCTGACTCAACCATGTATCCACAAGGTCAGGGCTATCTTTCAAGAGTTTACCTGGGAACCTAGACCTCAGGATTGCCATCTCTTGTGCTGTTGTATCCAGCCTGTCCTGGCTGCTCATGGGTACCTGCCACAATGCCTGGCTTCCTGGAAGCTCTGGAGTGGGTACAGTTGTCTCTTTTAGCATTGCAGTGTCAGAATGCCCTATGTGCAGGTTAGGGGCAGGCAAGCAGGGCTGGTGATGTCCTGCTCCATGTTCCAAGTCAGGTTGGTGCGTGCAGGGATCCACTAGACTGTTTGAGCTGGTCACATTCCTTAGGGCTATGCAACAGCCCCACTTGACACAGACCTGAGGAAGCTGCACAGGCCAAGGGCCAGGGGTATGAGTCACTTGTCCTTCTCCTGTGGCAGAGGGAGGTGCCAGTCTGCAGGGGGGTGCTGCCTCAGGGCCCACACCAGGGCGTGCTTCCGTGCCGCCTGGACTCGTGTCCGCTCGCTCTCACAGAGGGATCGCTGTGCAAATGAGACTCTGGTCACTTCTCACCTCATAGCTGGGTCTCCGGGCTCTGAGCACTCTCACATGGCCCTTGTACATCCCTCCTCCTCATCATTCTCCCAAACACAGATGGACAAACTGGTGCTCAGGGGACACACCACTCTGCATCTCAGCTGCTTCTACCTAACATGCCTTGGCGATTGCTTCATATTAGCATAGAGATCTGGATTGTTCTTTTTCACAAGTTACTGTGAAAAACAACTGTCTAGATCATTATGATCTGAGGAATTTTAAGACATCTCCTGGGCCTCAGGGCTCAATGGCCTCAGCTGACTTAGTGAGTCCGGGGCCAATTCACCAACTAAGAATGAGTCAGGGGGCACTGAGTGAGGAGAGACAAGAATCTGATTTTTTTCTTTTTTTTTAGTAGGATTCTCTCTGTTGCCCAGGCTGGTGTGCAGTGGAATCCTCATGACCACCACAGCTTCTCAAGTAGCTGGAACTACAGGTGTGTGCCACCACACCCAGCTAATTTTTTGATTTATTGTAGAGACATGGTCTCGCCAAATTTCCCAGGCTGGTTTCAAACCCCTGGACTCAGGCAATCCTCTTGCTTCCGCCTCCCAAAGTGCTGGAATTATAGGCGTGAGCCACTGCGCCCAGCTGAGACAAGAATCTGAAAGAGTACCTGTGGAAAGCTGCAGCAGTGTGGGTGGAAGGGAGGAAGATGAGGTAAGAGGATGCCCTGGAAAAGTGGGAGGGGTCCAGACGACAGACTACCAACCCTGGGATGCACACAAGTGCTGTTCAACCCACCTGCTTCTCTAGGCTACTGTCCCTCAAAACAGATTCAGGACAGTGTATCACAGTGACCTTGACTATTGGTCTTTGGTAGGTGTCAGGTATTATGTGGGCCTCTCTACAAATATAATCTAATCTGTCTACTTGTCTGTTTTTGTTCAAGCTCTATTTCAAATAAAAATGTTTTGGTTTGTTTAAAAACCTATCAGGAATGCAAAGTAGAATATGACAAACTCTCAAATCTCCATCCCCAATGTGGCAGTTAACAGCTTCCATGACTCATTTTTAGGCCTAAATTCTATAGCTATCAGGTCTCCCTTAAGATGGGGTAACTTTCTGCTGGCTAGTTTACTTCCTACTTTTTTCACTGAACAATATACTATGGGCACCTTTCCATGCCCAGGCAGATTACTATCTATTTTTGTCCATGGCTATGTAGTACTCCATTGTGTAGGAAAAGCTACTTGGTGAAACATCTATTAAGTGAAATTTAGGTTGCTTTCAGTGTTTGCACTATCATACTGCAAAACATCTTAAACTTTTAACTGTGTGCTGTTATTCAATTACTTCCCTACATAAACTTCCAGATGTAGAACTCTGAGGTCAGAAGGTATGCCTTTGATATTTAAATAATCAGAACACCTGACACTCCCACCAACACTGCATAAGTACTCTGAATTCTCCAAACCCCTAGGATCAATTCTGACTTTCTGCTGGGCAAAAACCACTCTTTTTTTTTTTGAGTTGGGGTCTCACTCTGTCACCCAGGCTGGAGTACAGTGGCATGCTCATGGCCACTGCAGCCTCAACCTGCTGGGCTCAGGTGATCCTTCCACTTCAGCCTTCAAAGTAGCTGGAACTACAGGCACGCACCACCACACCCTGCTAATTTTTAGATTTATTGTAGAGATGAGGTCTCACCAAGTTGCCCAAGCTGGTCTCTAACCCGTCGGCTCAGACAATCCTCTCCTCTCAGCATCCCAAAGTGCTGGGATTATAGGCGTGCGCCATACCATGCCAAACCACTCTTAAATACTGTTTTGACTCGTATACCTGGTCATTTGGTTTTCCTTTTTAATGAAAGAGCAGCTGTGGGAAGCTTCAGGGAGTTGGCCCACCTCTCCACTCTGCCCCTCTGTAATATACTCTGTGCCCTTTGCCCATTTATCTATTCTGAAATCATCCCCACTTTTCTTATTGATATAGAAGAGCTCTTTTAATATATATGTGGACATATATTAAGGTCATTAATCTCTTGCCATAAAGGCTACAAGCTTTCTTTCATTTTTTGGCTTTCACTTATTATGGACTTGTTATTTTCTTTCTTTCTTTCTTTTAGAGATAGGGTAATCTTATAGATAGAGATAATCTGTTGCCCAGATTAGAGTGTAGTGGCAATCATAGCTCACTGCAGCCGCCTCGAACTCCTAGGCTCAAGTCATCCTCCTGCCTCAGCCTCCAGAGTAGATTGGACTACAGCATGCACCACCATGCCCAGCTAATTTTTTTTGAGACTGGCATGTTGCTAATGTTGCCCAGGCTGATCTCAAATTCCTGATCTCAATCCACCCTCCGGCCTCATTTCATTGTTTTCTTTTATACAGCAGTTTGGTTTTCACATCAGTTTGTATGTTTCAGAATCACATACATTTAACAGTGCTGAAGTGTTGTCCAGTCCTGTTGGCTCTCCTTCCCTGGCACTCCCCATGAGCGTTGCACTTTCAGGCAGGCTTCTCTCCATCTCCCTTCCCACAGGGGCTTCAAAGGAGCACTGTATTCTAGACTAGAGTGAGGATGTTCGAGGTCTGGGGCTCTTTCTCATCACTCCTGTATCCCTAAGAGTGTCCAACATAAGTATCTGCTGAATGATCGGACAACTAGAACCACCTCCTTACTGGTCCTTGCCCCTCTGTAATATATTCTTTATACTCCAGCAAACAGGTTGATTTTTTAAAGATGCAAACCAAATTATGCTTCCCAGTACACTTTTAGGCTAAGCTTCAAACTCTTTATCGAGGCCCACCAGGTCCTTGGTACCTCTCCAACAACCCACTCTCCCGCTGCTCCAGGTACCTGGGCCTTCTTTCTGTTTCTCAGTCGCGTTCCCCCGGGATCGGCGAGAGCTGGCTCCTGGTCACTCACGACTCGACAGTATCACTTCCTGGGCAAACCAGCTGACCACCCTAACACTGGAAAGTCGGCCCTCCTCCGTCTCCAAGCCATTCTACACCCACCTCCTCGCTTGTCTCCTCCGTTGTCCTTAACGCCTCCTTAAAGTCCTGTAGATGTATTAACTTAAGCTATTTCTCTTCAGAGAAAGGAAGCACAAGTAGGGGAGGGATCCCGCAGTCCTCTGCGGTCTTGGGGCCTGGAACGTGGCTGGGGGCTTGGCCGTGCAAGGCATCCCCTAGCGCCGATGATGCCCCGGTGGCCCGCGCCTCCCCCGCTTTCCTCCCGGCGCACCTGGGCCTCGGCGCTGCGGCGCTCCTCCCAGTCGTGGCAGCTGGCCAGGTCGCGCCGCCACTGCTCGCAGACCGGCCACTCGCCGTGGACGTAGTAGTGGAGCAGGAAGTGCCTGGCGCTGCGGCAGAGCTTCCACTCGGTGCGGTAAGCTTCACAGGGGCGCGGCGGCTGTGCGAAAGGAGGCGCCTGAGCGGGACCGGTGGCTGCACCCCGCCCCCCCCCCCCCCCCCCCCC